TTGTCTGGGTTCCTGTATGTGCCACCGCGTCTCCAGCCCTATGAGGTACACGCGGTGCCTGGGCCTGGACGGCCGCTGTGATCCCTTCAGGAATATGTGTGGCGGAATTTGGGTGTACTTAGAGCTTTCCAGGAGAGAAACTATTCTGTTTTCTGGGTAGCTGCGCACTGTTCTGTACTGGCACCGTAAATGAAACGTTCATGGTGGTTTTAGTGGCAAAATTAGGTTATTTTCTCCTCAGAACTACCTTTATTTGACCCTGCCTTGCAGCACCTTGTCTTTGCTGTTTGTTAATTCCACAGGCACTCCTGTAAGTCACAGGTTCTGAAACTCCTGCTGTAGGGATTTCAGCGTGCTGCTGATCAAGGCACGCTGTGAATAGAGCTGTGCCTGCTTAATTACACCTTTAATAATGATTCTGTTATTGCTGAGGTGGGGTGGAGGTTGATCCAGGTGGTGCTGCCGTGTGGGGTTTAGGGTTTGTGGGTTCACCCTCACTCAGGTTCCCTCTCTGGGTTTCCAGGTGGCGTGACTCACACAGGCAGGTGACTTGTCCTCCTCTGGGTCCTGTCCTCGGGTGAGGAGTTGATTTTTGGGGTGGTGGCAGCAGTGCTGGGGCAAGGACTGATGGGAAATGGGTCCCAGTGGGATGAGAGGTGTTGGTGGCGGCCTGTGGGGCTCAGTGCCACTCAGCCTTGGGCGTTTTGGGATTTGGCCAAAGGCGCCAGCTGGTGTCCCCTGCTTGGTGGAGAGAAAGGCGGCCAAGACAGTGGCAGGGGGTGGGGAGCAGCCCAGTGTCTCTCAGGGAGTTATTGCATTTTGGGCACACACTGCCCAGGTTCCTCTGCTCTCAGCACCGTGTCTGAAGGTGGGCTGGGGGCCCTGCAGGAGATCCTGCCTGCTCCTGCACCCCAGGGCTCAGAGATGGCCTGGCTTGGGAAATCCTTGGGGATGGGGAGGTGTTTATGGCAAGGGGTCAAAACCATCAGGGAACCCCCATTTCACAAGGTTTTGTGCTGCTGTGCCCTGGTCTGTTGTTTTGCTGGTGGGTGAGTAGACATGGAAGCACCTGTGGAAGCCACAGCCAGGTGGTGGCATGGAGGAGCATTGTGTCCAACAGGAGCTCTTCAAAGACCTGTGGGACACAGTGGTGGTGTGGGCATGGGGTCCCCAAAAGCCTGACAGGTGCTGGTGGGGGTTGGGGGATCTCCTGACCTTCAGCCCTTTGTCCCAGGAGACTCCAAGGGAAGGAGGAGAGCAGTGTGCTGAGCAGGGAGGTGAATTCAGTCCTGGGGCACAGCTGGCTCATGGTGGCATTGATGAAGGGGAGTCTTGACTAGCCCTGCATGGGGTGTTGAGGTTAAATGGGGTCAGAGGACATGGGACTTTTCCCTGAGGGAAATACTTCCCTTCAGGCATGGAGGTGTAGGGGTTGTCCCAGTCAGCTTGCAAGCAGATGGGGGACACTGGGGATGTGTTTTGGGGGCAGGGGCAGCAGTCCTGAAATTGGGGTGATGGGCACTGGGCACAGACTGCCCTCTCCATGAACACAGTGAGTTAGGGGAGCATGGCCATCTGCTTGGAGCAACCTGGACTGCTGGAAGGGACTTGGAACAAGATGATCTTTAAGGTCCCTTCCAACCCAAACTCTTCTGGGGTTCTATGATTCTCCCTGCTGGGGTAGAGCTGAGGACCTTCCTGGGTGGGTCCTGGCCCAGCCCCTGCAGTTTGGGGACCCCACAGTTGGAGCTGTGGTACTGTGCACAGTGGGGTGTGATGGGCACCACTCTGCTTCAGGGTTAACAGTGAGGGAGAGGCTGACCCAGCTTTGTGCTCTGGTCCACCCTGGGCTCACTCTGGAGATGCTCCTGTGTGAGTGCCAGGGCCAGCTTTTGTGGGGATCCTTGCTGTTATCCAGGGTGAGGACTCGGATGGGAGAGGGAGGGGCACATTCAGCAGTGGGGCTGGACCCCCAGGGCTCCTTCTCCTGGTGTCCCATGGGTGTGGGACAGTGCCCACATCAGAGGCCCAGGCATTGTCCCCTAGGCAGGGAAGAGATGGGGAAATATCCTGTGCCAGGAACAGCCTGTCAGGGAGCTGGATGGGTATGTGAGCCTTGGAGACTCCCTCAGATTCTTGGGAGATGGAACTCCAGGACTCACCTGGAGCTCATCTCTCACAGGGCATTGAGGAGGAACCACCTGTGAGAGATGAGCTGCAGGTGAGTCCTGGTTCCATCTCCCAAGGAGGAGGGGTTTGGAGGGGTTGAGGATGATGAGGAGATGAAGGCAGTGTCAGTTGTTGGCCACCAGCAGCAGCAGCACGAGGGGAACGAGACCTGGGGAAGGAGAAATACAGGGGGGATTTGGGGGTGAAAAAATGACTTGTTAGGTAAATTTAACTTGTAAAATAAGTGTGAGTGGCAAAGATGGACCTGTCTGTATTCAGTCAGGAAACCAGGGAGGAGAACAGAGCAGGGTGCTGCTGAGGGCTGGGCACTCTGACACCCATCAGTGACGGCATGTGGCGGATGTGGGAGGGAGGCCCCTGCCGGGGCTTGGCTTCCCCTCCCTGCAGTCCCAGCCCATTTACCCTCCTGTGCTTTCACATGACCCAGCAGAGGCTGGAGCTGCTGCCAGCTGGGGGCACCTGGGGGTTCAGGGAGCTGCTGCACTCTGTCCCTGGGGAGGCAGGTGGGTGCCCCTGCCCTCATTTCCACCCCAGGGTGGCTTCACTGGGATCCACTCCTGCATGTGGCAGCTGCAAGGATGGATCAGCCCCACCATTCACTGCAGACCCCATCAGACTGCAGAGTGAGCATCCTACCTGTCCTTTCCCACCCAGGTAATCCCAGCAGATCTTTCTCTGCCAAACCCAGGGGCTGATGCATCCCCTTCCCTGCTCCGGTGCCGGGCTCCTGCATTCCAGGTAAGATCCCTCCAACTTCCCCCCTGCTCACTGTCCATGCTCATTGTTCCTCACACTTGAGCTGTTCTGTTGGTTGTCCCTGAGTGGTGACTCTTGGGCACTGTGGTTTCCGTGGGTGTGCAGGGGTTTTGTGGGCATTTCCTGCAGCCCTGTGCTGTTTTTGGAGTAGGGGAAAGGCTTCAGCATGACGTGGGGTGTTTCATTTCAGAAGGGATGATGCCAGCAGTGGAAAACAGCAGCTGTTTGCCACATTGTCCTTCCTGGGTGTCTGTAGGGAGTGTCTGGGCTCCCTAAACCGTGCTGAGGATGCTGTGAGCTGGCAGGGAACAGACAGGAGTGCCAGGGCAGGCAGCACCAAGGATGCACAGCTCTGGGCATCACCCACACTGCCTTTGGTTTGCCAGCACCCAGTGATCCCTGGTGATCCCAGCTGATTTCCCTTTCTCCTCTCCACAGGATCCTTTCCCCACTGATGGGAATGAGGGTTTCTCCTCCCCATTGTCTCTTGGCCTCGCTTGCTGCAGGTGTGTATCTCCAGTGGAGAGAGCCAGTAACAGGTAAATGTTCCTTCCCAGCACATTTTGGGGAGGCAGATGTGCTGGGGGTGATTTTGGGGCTGTAAGAGCACCCTAGAGCTGCAGATCCCTGGAACAAACCGGGCTGAGACCTGCCTTGAAGCAGTTCTTGCTCTCAGTTTTTTATTCCTCTTTTCTGCTCTCAGGAGGGGTGTCCTGCTGGCAGTCAGTGGCTGAGCAGTGTGCTGCCCACTATGGCTGGTGAGTGTGGGAACAAACCTGCCTCTGTCCCCTCCCTCACAGCATCCCTTCCCCAGCAGAACACCAGGGTGCCCATGGGCTGCTCCTCACAATGCCACAGCATTCAGGTGGTGGTGGCAGCTCAGTTTCAGGGACCAGGATGGTTTTGGGGTCAAGGTGAGATCCTACCCACCCCTTTCCATCTGGGGGCATCCTGCAGATTGAATGATGCTGTGCTTGGGAAGTCCAGGGGCTGCTGAGCCCCCAGAACTGACTGTGACCTCTCTCAGGTTGGTTTAGGAGGCTCCTGCACAAACCCAAGTCCAGCTCAGTGGAAAGCCTCAAGTCCACCCACTCTGCTTCATCCTCGCCTTCCTCCTCCTCCTCATCCTCTGCCAAGAGCTCCAGCTCCTCTCCTGGCACGAGCCTGGCCACCAGCTCCATCTCGCTGTCTCCCGTGTCAGCAGTGGACATCAGCGCCTCGCACAGCCCCCGGTGGGACAAGAGCTACGACGTGTGCATCTGCCACAGCGAGGGGGACGTGGAGCTGGTGTCAGAGCTGGTGTCCTACCTGGAGGGGCAGCCCGAGAGCTTCCGCTGCTTCCTGCAGCTGCGCGACGCGGCGCCGGGCGGCGCGGTGGTGACGGAGCTCTGTGACGCCGTGCAGAACAGCCACTGCTGGGTCATGCTCATCACCCCCAGCTTCCTGCAGGACCCCTGGTGCAGGTACCAGATGCACCAGGCCTTGGCTGAGGCTCCCATGGCCAACGGACGCACCATCCCAGTGCTGAAGGACGTGGATCGCAAGGACTATCCCAGGGAGCTGCGGAGCATCTACTACATCTACATGGCCCTGAAGGAGAAGAGCTTCAGGCAGATCAGAGACACTGTCATGCGCTGTGAGTATCCTCTGGATGCTGGTGAAACGTCAGCTCATTGCGGTGAGGACCGTGGGAATGGACCAGATTCCATACATTTATGTAAAGTTGATTTTTAGAGTACTTGTTTGTTAATGGAGCTCATCTGCTGTCCCTGCAGACCTCCAGGAACTGTGCCAGAGCTCCACAAAAAGCATGGAGTAGTGCTGGAAGCAGGCAGATGCATTCCCATGGGCATCATGGAGCTGCCACTGTTGGATCTGAGCGTTGGCACGTCCCGTTGGACCTTGAGGTCAAACCTGAGCTGCTCAGACCGGACCTGGGACCAAAGATGGAGAGTTCTCCGCATCCATGAGGGACAGCAGACTGGAGCCCACCACGTCCTGGTGGCCAAAATCTCCTCGATGGGGAGAGGGACATCCATCACACAAACACTAAGCTCTGGTGTTGGTGCTTCTCAGGGTCATGAGAGCTCTTTACTGCACTGGCATTCTCTGTCCTGAGGGCTCCGGGACGCCTACTAAGCTGACAAGATATGTGGGCAGGACAAGATATGAGGCAGGCAGTGACGCTGCACGGAATCGTTGCGTCTACGAAAATGCAGAAGTTTTACATTTTGATGGTGTTTGGTATTTTTGTCTCAATCCCCGGTTCGGGCGCTGTGGGAGGAGGA